GTACTGTGGCAATTCCTGTGAAAAAGCACGTCGTCATCCATATCTTTAAGAGAAATTTCATTTCAGCCATGTGATTAAGACAGCCTAATTTTTGCTCTGCAGCATGGCTTCAGTGCCAAACCATAGGGAAGAATGCCTCTTCTGGAGGGGGGCATTAATTTCTCAGGAAACCGGTCTCACTGTGGGGGTTGATGGGATCATGGCTAAGAGTGATAACAAGACAAGTCTCGTACATGCTGAGATATTACATACTGCTTGCAGCAAAACTGTAAAGAGTCACAGCTTGCGGTGTGATTCATGTGCTAGATCTGCTGTTTGGAAGCGCCTCAGGGCAGGAAGATGTGTTTAATGTGAAGGGGTGAGGTGAAATGGTGATTATCTAGGCAAAAGAACAAGCAGCACCCACTTATGCAAATGGATTTGGAAATCTGGTGGAGCAGGTAGAGCAGTTTGCTGGTTGTGAAAATGGCAGTCCTGACCATTCACCTCTCCCAAACCCCCACCATTAAGACTTCCCAATGTAGTAAGTGAAGCTTCCGCTTTACCTCTGTTTCTTTTATTTGTTAGTTATAGACTGGCCCAGGGATTATTGCTGATGTTATAGAGCGTTTCATCAAGAAAGATACAGGAAGAGTACTTAAAATTGTGTATTATCTAGCTGACCATTGACGTAGTTAAAGAAGTTTTGCCTCTGTAGCAGGAGTTTACTGCCCATGTGTGTCTAGAGCATCTGGCAGTTTGTTCTTTCCACAGGACATCAGGAACGTTCAGTGATGCTTTTGATGCAGGTAACTTGGTATTAGCAGCATAAACAGACAAAAGTAATTTCTTTTGGCTCAAGGGACTGTAATGACTGTACATTTTGTTACTGGAACAGAGGAAAGTGACATTTGTTTTCTTCTGAGTGCTACCAAAGTTCATAACTGCACTTAGCAACTGATTTGATTTGAAGGGGACAGATTTTAAGGAATCTGTTTCTCAGAGGTGCAGATCCTGCTCAGCTTCCATTGAAATCGAGGGAGGGGGTTGCTGAGAGCTCTGGGACCATTATTTATTGATGCTGTAGTTTAGCATTTTGCTTATCTAGTTGTATTATGTTTGTAAAAACAACCATATTCTTATTTTGAGAGGAGTCAGTCAGCTGGCAGATACCTCTATTTCTATATGTGTTTTGTGTAGTCTACAGCCTTGTATTCCTATTCCCTTTGGAAGTTGCTCAATGTACATGGGTACCATGCAGATGGGTATCTTGTTCCTGTTGTCCCCTTCTAAACCTTTCTTTTGATTTCAACTATGTAACATGATTAATTTTTTTAATTATTGGAAGAGAAATGGTTTTTAGTCTTGAAGCTGATTATTTTTAGAACACTAGCAGGTGGAGGAAAGGAGGAACTGAGATAATAAAGGGAGAAGTTGCAACTGAGCCACTAAACACTGTAAGATATATGGGCAGAGCTGTAAATAGCAGTAATACAGAATTATATCTGCCTGGTCTGAGCACAAGGGTTCTTTTCACTTTTAACATTGAACTAGTCCTGAAATGTGAAAGGTACTGCAGAGAAAGAAGTGTTCCTTTCTCTCCCTTAAGCTCCTTTGATTAGATTTGTTTGTCAAGTTAACAAATGCATGTGAAGAGCATGATAACATCTCCTAAATAATGCTGTTAACAAAGTACTGATTAAGCTACAGTAAAACAAAATGAAGCACAGATGCGGGATTCTCATGCTGAAAATACACATCTGTCATCTCGAGAAAAGGATTATGTAAGCTACATTAGTAGGGGAGGAGTCCAGACAAGCTCAAACTGAAATAAATAAAAGCTTTAAACTGGAACCAACAGAAGCTAATAGGATTGGAAATATTTACAAATACGGAAAATGTAGTGTATAGAAAAGTATGCGTAAGCTATATGTCAGTGAAAGCAAGGGAAGTTAAGACACACACAGGAATTTGCTAAGGTCGGTTCATGAAGGCTTCTGTTACCTTCAGAACAACAACAAAAACAATTATTTTAATGGGGCTTGGAGATTTTGCATCAAGACCTCCAGCAGAAAAACAGATTCCACATCTGCATTAACATATTATTTCAGGTCTCAGAGGAGAAAGTAAGCCAGCTTATGAAGATGTTACTGTATCATCTAGCAGCAGTCACAAGTTTCTTCAGAGGGTTTCCATTCCTGTTTGGTGACGATTTGTGTCGCATAGTGGGGAAGTTTCAGAAGACCGGAGTTCAGAGCAGTGATCCACAAAGCCTTAGGGCAGCACTTTCCAACCAGCAGCTGGTAGGTCCCCTGATGTCCACAGACTGCATCTATTCCATGGCAGGATTGTGATGGCAGTGCATGGCACTGCAGGGTCTGGATTATCTGAACAGCAACAATCTGTTGATTTATTTTTAACCACCCATCCTACAACAGATTATCAAGCCACTGACCTATGTGATACAGCTATTGTCATTAATGGGGGCTAGGGAAGTTGAAGAAAAGTGTAAGAAGCAAACCAGAACGACTCATAGGTGAAATTCCTTCCAGTTCCCTTCCATTAGGGACTATCATCGTGTTTCTACCACAGATTCCAGGGTTTACCTTTCATTCACATCAAGACAGACTCTTTTATAATGCAGAATGCCTATGGTACTTTAAATAGGAAACCAACTGACATATTTGCTATTTTTTTTATTTTCATCTCCTGTGAGTAATGCAAAGCATGTGTACACAGGTACATACATTCTTAGGATACTTTTCGTAAGACCTGTGAACATCTGCAGCTCCAGAGCTGCTGCTGAAGTTCTCCAGCATATGCCATATAGCAAAGATACATGGTGGACTTTCTGAACTGTAAATGACCCAATAAAATCTGCAGTTCATACTCCATATTTTTAGATTCAGTAGATACCAAACCACAAACAGAAGGCCATTATTTGTGCTTACTTGCCCCAGTGTAGCTGTGAATCTTTGTCAAAGAGCAGTTTAGCCTTTACTTCGGAGTGTGTAATGAGCAAAGAAGCTGCAGTGGGTGGCAGGTGAGGGACAGCAGAATAGCTCACTTCACCTGGAAGGCATTTCTCAGTCCAGCAAGTTATGACTGTTAGGTTCATCTCATGGCTGATTTATGTTCTTGTTTTGTCACTGAGGAAACTGAGGTACTGACAGTGTAGATGATAGAAGTGGTGTTTCAAGTGGTCTCCCACGTACTTCTGCTATCCTGAAGTTACCTGTTGTTGGTAATTGCTCCTCATGTACTTAATGCTGATAACCCAGGGGAACCTGATTTTCTGCTTCTGTTGCTGTCAGGGGAATGTCCCAGGTGCAAGACCCAAGTCAGGTGCATGCTTTTCCTTCCCCCCTTTTTTTTTTTTTCTTTTAGTTTTTGTTTGTTTCTCAGCTACTTCTGAGACTCTTTGTCTCATTGCCCCTCAATCTGACTGTTCTTGCTGCAGCTTCATGGTTTTGGCAGTGTGATGAGGACCCAGCTGATGCGGTTCCAGGTGTCTGCTGGCATTTTTAGTAGCTGTTTTTTCTGTCCTGCAGGAAGCAAAACTGGATTACCTGGTTGGGTGAAATCTTAGTGCCATAGAGCTAAGATCTTCCATGGGCTCTGAGGCCAGGGTTTTGACCTCTTTTGTCTTTCATAATGGAATTAGTTTTGGAGGGCTCTCTGCGATATGCAGTATGCCTGCAATCCATTTTGCAGGAAACAATGTGGCTGTAGATGAGGGTAATAGCAGAACTTCAGGCTGTTCTCTGTACTGGCATTCCCATGTATCCCAGCAAGGTTTGCAGGAAACCTGCCTGTACAAGAGCAGTATTCTGTATTTGTGACTTACTGGCTGTTGGCAGCATCAGTAAAGAAATCACTAAAGGGTCCAGCTATGAAAATGGACATAACTGTTATTATAGTTTGCTAAATGCCCAAACTCCTAAGAGAGGTTCTATTTAAGTGTTTTATTCCAGTAAATGATCTGTGAACAGCCATGAGGGTAGAACAAGATTCCTCCTTCACAGGTAGATGACCACCCTGCCTATGGGACCTGAGTTGTCCTCCATGTACCCTCTCTCTCCTTATCCCGTGATTACTTCAGCTTTCTAGGCCAAAAGGAGCTGGAAAGTCCTTCCATCATGAACAGAACAGCATGTACACTAGTAGTTATGGGACTTCTCCTATGAACCAAACGCTGCATGAGGGAGAAGCAAGTTGAGCCTTTATCTGTCACCTCCTGGGTGAGTGTACTCAGCTGTTGTGTGGAGGTAGTGTAGTGATGAGGAACTCATGCTTTATGTGAGAGATGACCCGAGCATCTAACTGGAATCCTGAAGAGAAGGGAGTATCTAGGAGCAGACCCCTGGCCTTAGCATTTCTTCCCTGGGGGCCTTTTGAGCAATCTCCCCAGTTTGATGTGCTTGAAGCTTGGATCCCTCTTCGCGAGTGCCCAACTGCTCATCTCTGGATCAGGGAACATGTGGTCTTAATTTAGCCATGGAAAGTGTTCTGTGGAGCTTGTCATAACTCACTTTGTGTTGAGTGGCATTGCTTTTCTGGCCTTCTTGTCTGTTTGGACTTGATACTGCAGATGGTCTGTTGATTCATGTAACTTTATCCTTTAATTAGTGCTGTGGAGTTAACGTGCTTCAGGTTGAGTTGATACGGACAGGCTTTGAGTGTGTGTGTTGTTAGGGACCGTCCAGATTGGGGATGCTACAGTGTGGCATCTGGGTTACGTTTAGAGCTTTTTCTAAGCCACCCTTGAACAAAGGCTTTATTAAAGCGTCTGCCAGGCTTCTTTACAGAGGAGGGCTGTTTCACATAATCTTTGAATATCTGGTTTGATTATATCAGCTGCTTGAACTCTTTCAAAGAATTCTAACACACGCTGTCCTCGAAGAACCTTCAGAAAAACTTGTTTGACTTGTTTGTCATAATTGTAGAATCATAGAACAGGGTTGGAAAGGATCTTAAGATCATCTAGCTTCATAATCATAGGGGTTAACTGTGTTTTCTAATATTTTTCCTTGTTCTTTTTATGGTAATAACATGCTCTTGCTGCAAGCATAGAACTCTTTTTGAGGGGGGACACAGAGGAGGGTCCATCTCCTTCGCCTTATCTCCTCTGTCACTGGCAATAGCACAGAACATATTACTTGGCATATTTTCACTGGAGCTTAAAGTTCCTTGGATTTCATTTCCTTATGTTTTCTTGGGAAGATACCTTCCCTTCCTGCCTTCTTTATTACAGTTTCATTTTCCCATCTCAGCCCACATTTAACTCTCCTCTGGCTTGGCTCCTGTAGAGGATACAGCTAAACAGATGTGTGGAGGACCTGGAGAGGTTCTGTGTTTTCTCTTTATGCTGAGATTCAATAGTGCTGGTAAGTGCCATGTTTCCTTCTGTCCTCCAGTAAGGAAGTGACCTTGTTATTGCTTGTTTATGCATGTAGATGTGTTTTATCTTTTTAGTCAGTGATGCCTAGAAGTTACGGAGGCACTGCCTCTAAAGCTTGCATGCATGCTTTATGATGCACCATCTTGGTATCTGTGGAAGTAATATAAATCCTGACTGTGTGTCAGTAAGGCTTCTGAATTTGGCTGAGCACTCAAATGAGCGGGTAGCATTGTCCAGCAAATGGAGTGTGTGATTGGGAAGCAGCAGGCATTGCCTGCATTTCTGGTTTTGCTCATGACTTGTTCAGCAACCTTTGATAACTCTTTTCTCCTCAGTGCAAAGATGATACTGAACTATCATTCCCTGCATAAAGTGCCTTGGATATATGATATTTTTTTCTTTGCCATTTAACAAAAGGCGTCAAAAGACTTGATCTTGTTTTCATTGTACACAACTACAGTACTCCTGTGGAGTTTAATGAAATATAACCAGACCAGCATCTTTTGCAGAATTAAAAACCTGGGAAGCTTGGCCTATCTTCAAAACTTCCAATTAATTAACTATTCAATGAAAAATGTATGCAATGAAAGTTAAGAGTATGCACTGAAGTGCTAGGCTATAATACTTCCAAACTGTTAAAGAACATAATATATAGGGCACTGTTGTCTGCTTTCACAGACTCGAAACCAGCTAACAAAAAGTTGATATGTTATGGAAACAGAAGAACAGTGCATGCTCCAGTTGTCCTATTTAGTATATAGTCCATGCTGTGTTTAATTCCCTTCTTATCCTTTCTTTTTACACGATTGTGTGTCATTTGTAGCAGGTTACATTCTAAATAAAGGCTCCACAATCCTGCATGTTTCAAAAAGGTTTTTATTTAAAGTAACCTTACTAATCTAAGAAAAGGTGTGGCTAATCATGCCTGCCTTCCAAATTAGTATTGTCAGTTCTGGCTATTTTACATCTATCACTATCTTTCCAATGTGTAATGCTTCCCTGTTGTATTAGTAAAAGCAGGATAAAGTATGTTTGTGTAGTCCAGTGGATTCCTGATTTCTAGCAGGGGATTTTGATTATATTATTCTCTAATAGCCTTGAGAAGGGAACAGCTCACACAACGCATCTTCCTGTTGCCAGTTGGTACATGTTTATATGAATGACTGGGGCCAAATGCAGGCCACTGACTCTTTTTGAGCAAAGCTACAGCGTTCAGCCTGATTCAGGATAATGTCTGAGGCAGTTTGATCCAGTGTGGTGGGGGCTGACAGTTCAGGCAAATAACCATCATGAGCTTTGCTCTGTACCTCCATGTAGCGTGTTCTAGGTGCTCTGCATGGAGCAACTCCTCCTCCTCTCTGTCCACACAGACTTGAGTGTGATCCCTGCCCTCTGGCTCTGCTCTTGGACCACTTTCACAACTGGTTGATTATTTATTTATTGATTCATTTGCATAAATAGTGCTCTGACTTGTCTAGTTCTAGCGCTTTAAAACTGCTTTTCCTCACTCAGGCAGTGCACCAAACCCTCCTGTTCAGAATCCAGAGAGAAAGTAAGAGGTGCATCTTTTTTCCAAACGATGGCTTAACTTTGGTTTAGAAATAATTGCATTTCAAGCTACTTTAACATCAGTAATATTTTTATTTTTAGGTGCAAGGCCTGGCAATGGCACTGAATGAGCACAGTCTTCAAGCCTCCTTCCTGTAAATGATAGGACCAAACAAGGCGGTGTGATGAACATGCCACTGCATCAAATCTCTGTCATTCCAGCTCAGGATGTTACCTCTTCCAGAGTCTCCAGGAGCAAAACCAAAGAAAAAGAGGAACAGGTACTGTCAGATATGCTTGATTTTTCATAGGGAGTTATCTAACTATAAAATTAAAGGGGTTATCAAATCAGACCTGCTTCTGTTCCAAAGCCCCAACTCCTTGAGTGAAGATGAATGTTGCCAAATTCTCTCTATATTCTCATTTTTTGCTATTTTAAAGCAACTGGCTGCAAAGTTCTTGAAGTTGTTGTTGAGTAACTTCTGTAAAATACAAGCCATGACCTTCTGTTTTGCATAAGAATTCAAGGCAGGGATTTTGAATGACGGCTGTAGTATTGTTTTCACAGAAGCTGTTACAGGTGTATTTTACCTGTCTAAGATTGTGTGGGCTGTGAACCCCTATGTGGAGCCATACATCCTGTTTTCCTTTGCTCTTGGCAGCATCTAGTAGCTGTGTTATGGTTCGTAGTGATTAGAATTCACAAGGAAGGAAATACATACCCATACATACTGTTTTCTGAAGATACGATTTGTATCTTTAACTTGGCAGCATGTGTGTGAATGGAATAATTTTGAGGTCTTGTGGTGGTGGTGGTAATGAGAACCAGAATGCAAAAATACCTGAGGTATCTGATGATTATAAGTATAATAGAATCTGTTCAATAGGTTACTTAAGAATTCTTAATGGCATGCTAAGTCTAGTCTTCATGTGTCATCCTTATTTACTCCTGGACTGTCTCTCTGATCCAGCCCAAAGACCTTAGTGTGCATCATGCTTTAGTGTATGCCGCACTGCATTGAATTTTACATTATCTGTCAGTTACATAGAAACCTCTTTGTGGGTTTTTTTTTTTAAGTTTACTGTAACATAAAACCAGGTCAAGAGAACACATTGTACAACAGCAGGGCTTGTTTTGTGGAGTTCTCGGTAGGAGGAGATACAGGATCTGAAGAGATCTAGGGTGTAGCTTACGTATAAGGGATAAGAAAGTCACTATCATGTTACAGAAAGGGATTCATTAAGACAAACTTTGGGTAGAATAAAATAAGTTGTTCCTCTTGTGTTAGGATCATCTGCCCTGACTACTCTCCCTCACCTGTCAGCTGTCCAAATAGCACCTACCAAAGTCACCAGCGAGTCAGTAAAAATAAGTTGGCCTATTGTTATTGTTTGGCGTGTTTTCCTTAGAAACATCTTAAAATGGATTCTGGCGCTTCATATTCTTAAACCAGTACTTAATTAGGCTGGCATACTGCTGCTTTTGGTTGCCAAGACTAGGCAAGTAGTTATCGTCACATATGAGGTGCTCTAATTCCACAAAGCACCTTGTCTCAGCAGTATGCTGGAATCTCTTACTTCTGCACATAGTTGCCATCTAGGTAAGAGGGTTCTGCTGTTTCTTCTGTCCAGTCCCCTCCCATATGGAAACTGAATATGCTGAGAGTGAAACAGTCCCTCTGCCAAAAGCAGGGGAGTTCTGTGAATTAACTACACCCCCCCTGAGGTGATGGGGATTAGGAGGCTGATAGGATGTGAACAACTTGTGGTAACTTTGACCATGCAGTGAGCTCACAAGTGGGAGTTCCATGTCTCCTAAACTTGTTCATTTCTGACACAGCAACTTCAGTGTTAACAAAACTCCCATGTTTTCTTCGTGATAACTAGTTGTAATGTTGATTATTGTTTTCCTTGCCAGGCTGCTATTGTACTTTTCATGCCTTGGGATATTGGAAACCTAAGAGAATACTTAAATGCATGCAGTATTGTAGAGGAAGTAACAGGGACTGTGACTATACAAACAATAGATTAAGCTAACCTGGAAACACTTCATGTTTTCCAAGTCTTGTTCTTCCTGTCCTCATGAGCATATCCATTCATCCCTCAAGTGTCCTCTATTCTGCCAAAAGCTGAACTGGATCCACAACTGCCTGCCATCCTCAATGCACAGCTATACTGATGCTGAGGCTGATGCTGTGCAAGTGAGCCACAGCCTTGCCCTTCTGTGCTCTTCCCCACTCCAACAAACTGTGTTGCTTCTTATGTTAACCTTTAATGCTGGAACTAACGAATGAGCTGGAGGGCAGTCAAGTTGTTAATGTGCTGACTTTGACCAATCCAATTAAATTTTCCTATTGCATCAGTTAGGACGTTCAAAGCTACTTGCTAGTCAGAGTCCCTGTATCTCTTGGGTGTAATAAGGATCTGCTGGCCATGACTGTGAGTTTTGTTTATATTTGCAGTATGCAGTAGAGTGGAGATAGGATGCAAGAGAAAGAAATGGTAGATTGTCACTGCCATATTTTTATTAACTTCAAACTGCCTTTTTTCTGTTTGAGATAGCAACCACTGCAAGATAAAGAGGAGCATGATCCTCTGTTGAGCAAATCTGCTGAGCAGTTGTAGATTATTTTTGTGCCCTAGTAATATAATATCTGCTGTACAAGGGACAGACACTAAGTAAAACTGAGGAAGAAGGCATTTGCAGTTCACTTTCATAACTTCAGTGCTTTCATATTTCAGTTGTGTGACTTCTCATTATGCAACCCCACTCACAGTTATTTCTTTGTGTTCTGGATGGCCTAGACACAGTTCTCATGGATTTCTGTATAAACATCTAATAGTTTTTCAGGAGCAAGTGCAACATTTCATAGTTTGACTCAAGTGCCATGATTTTCTTACCTTACCTTCACTATGAAATAGAAACACTCCTTACCTTTTCTGTGTAAGAACAATAATAAACACCTCAAACAAACGTGTGTGCTGTGGTCATAAAATGTTTTGGAGTTGTACAAAGCCACTTGCCAATCTGAACAAGATCAAACAAACCCCAAACCACGAGCAAAGCCAATATTAGTACTTCAAAGATACATATGTCAGCTTGCTTTGTAATCCCAGGCTATGTTCTTAGGCCAAGTCCATTGTCAACTAGCAGATGATATTTTGTCTTTTTTTGTTTAATTTTCCACATTTGTAGTAGGGGTTCACAGGAAAAAAATATCAAGCTGAACAGTTCAGATCTCTTACTATTTCTTCTCTTTCACACTTCTGGTCAAGTTGTAGCTTTTGTATTTCAGGTTAAGTCTTGGCTTGTTTTAGTGGTAGTTTTCCTTGCTACAAGAGCAAGTTTTCTGGGCTAATGATTTGTAACTGAAGAATAGCAAGAAATCCTTACCACCTTTATCATTATAATCCAGTTTCTCAGACTGGGTGATTTATAGGCCCTAGGCATGCCTCATGGCAGATTAACATTTACATTCAATACCTGTGGAGGTCTGGGGCAGAAATCCTGCTGTATTTGAAGAGGTGGTAAAAAGCAAAGCTCCTGCCTACTGTTTCTATTTTAAGTCCTCAGTGATACGTGTAAGTACCGGAGCCTGGTAGATTCTGATTCAGGTTAGTATAATTTTCAGGATTTAAAATAATTTAAAACTGTGGTTAATAGCAGTCTCCCATGAAACTTTGTCTGTTTTTCCAATGAAAATAGGGAAGGTCATAAAGGGATTATTACTCTTGCGTCTAACTCAGATGAACTGTTAGATTTAAGGGCTGTTAATAACCATCATTAGCTTCTTACTTATCCTTCACTAGGAATAGCTTGATGCCTAATTTAAGGGAGAGTGACTAACAGTGTCACTGTTAGTCTATTGTTTGTGAGATGCTACAACCTCCCCCGCCCCTGTTTGGTGGGTAACACGCTGGCAGTGTTGTTTCCTAATGTATCCAAAAGCAAACAGCTCTCAGGATTTGTCCTGGAAATGAGGATCTGATGCTGACATGTGGTTGAGGTGTTGCTCTGGCTTTGTTTTGTTGCCTATTTGAGGGCTTTGTGCCTGGCTTGCTGAAGCCAAGCTCTTAGTAAATGTTACCGCAGGGAGTGCTGCTCCCTGACCAATAGCTTCTACATTGCTCTTCTGAAAACATATGAGTACTTCCCAACCGTGGCCTCCTGTGCTAATCGTCTCTGCAGATCTTGTAAGTAGATCAGGGATGGACAAGATCAGTGTTTGAGAGATCACAAGATGTTGGTGCAAGTCGCTTTGGGTGCGCAGTACTCTTTCTTCGCAGTAGCTTGGTCCTGCAAAGCAATACTGAGTTGTCAGCAAAGATCATGTAGCATTTATCACAGAAGCAGATGCATGTTCTAGTCTAAATTTAACTTGATAATTCTGCTTGATTGACCAAAACTCCCTTCTGTCCTCTGCTTTAGATGAACTATCTTGTCTTCCAAGTGCTGTGTAGTATTACTGGCTGCTGTGTGCTCAGCAGAGATGCTGTGATCATCTCAAATATCTCCAGATGCTTCTCAAAGCTGTTATCTTGGAGATACTATGACTACCTGTCTCGCCTGGATGAAATTACGTTGAGAGGTGCATTGTGCTGAATCTTGCTAAATTTCTTCCACTGTCTTAATGATTTCTTGTATCTTGTAACAGGGAAGACATGGCCTATTGATTCAAAGAAGCCATGTCATACTGGAAAAGCAGGACTTACTTGAAGAAAGATGGAAAAAAAAAGCGATAGATGCATTTGCAAGAATTTTTAGTCATAGATGAGTAACTCAATATAAAAGTGCATGCTTTTACATTGTGGAATCCAGTGTGACGCTTTGAGAGCTATTATATTGGTTTTAAGGTACAGAAGCACTTTGTGGCCTTTTTCCATTCACTTTTTGGACTTTGAGCATGTGAATGTGGGCTCTGACTGGCTGAACTTGATCCAAATTTTCAGGCACTGGTGTGTGTGTGTGTTTGGTTTTGCTTGTCCATTGAAGCAAATAATTCATTAAGCAGCCAGGCTGCAAATCCTTTGGGAATTTCACCTTAATATTCTTCTACTGAGATTTGTGTGTTCATGTGTAGCTGTGTTGTATATTAACACTGGGCCTGGCAATTTTCCGTTATTGAATTTGCTTTGTGTAGAAACTGGTTAACTATTGAAGAATTTTTTATCTGGGTATCCTTTAACTCTTTCATGGGAAGCAGCATGAGTGTGCTGCTGTACTGCTTATAGACTTGGCCTGAAAGTGGGAATAGCAAAGTCATTTCCTGATGATTCAAAC